TACCATTCAATATACAAAAAAAGTTAAATTTATCATAGTTTTGACATTATACAAAACATCTATTTAAGAGGAAAATGCATTCACAAGGTCGATATCAAAGGTTTTTTCTTTGATCCGTTGAAGTAGTTTTTCAGTGGTTCGACAATGGAGTTTCTGCCAGAAACATTCGAAGAACTTGAGCACTTTTCCGTTGAGCTTCCTCTTGCACTCATCATTAGTTTAAAATAATCAGAAGGTTTGTTCTTCTTAAGATTATCTAAGTTTTCTTGGGAAATGGGAGCAGTTGTAATCTTTGGAGGAGACTTTAAATTAGATATGGTCCCAAAGGTTTTGTGGGCATCAATTGCAGTATGATGTTGGGTATCATCTTTGTTCGGTTCTTCTTCGTCTTATTTATCCCCAAAGAAATCATACATGTTTTCATCTTTATCCTCATGACCGTCTTCACCATGGTCAAAAATCCTAGGAGAGGAATCATGTGGGTTTTCTTGGTTAGGGCCCTCTGTTTTTGGAATTTCCATTTCGTCATGCTATGATTCTTCACTGTCACTTTCAGAGATAGATTGTTGAGAAGGTTGGCATGTACCAGTTGGATAGGGAAGTTCTTATAGAACTTCGACAGGTTGATTGACTTCTCTATTTGATCCTTTGTTCGACTTAGGGTGAACAAATGAAGAGCTGGTACTTTCAGGAATAATGTACTTGTTACTAGAGATTTCAGTGCCAATTGGATCTCCCTGCAAAGAAAAGAGAAGTTATTATAAATGAAAACTAAATCATAGAAAAAGAAGTTGTAAGGCTAAGACATTTTACCTTAGGTCCATCAGAACCATGGATAGAATTGTCACTTTCAACATGCTCAGAGACAACATTTGTGTATAGTACTAAATCAACATTAATCACTTTTTGAGCGCTGGATTTTGACTTGTTAATCTTGACGGTGTTTGCTTTTAGTTTAGGAGTAGGTTCTGAAGGTTTTGACTTCTTCTTTTTCTTTTTTGGTTTGGAGGTATCAGGTGACAGGTCTTCGACATCATCTTCTTTCGCTTGGGGTTGTTTATTGTTGTTTGTTTTCCCGCGCTTCAAGGGAGTAAGATGAGGTTTTTGGATAGCTTAAAGACAACACAAGTGTTAGATAAAGAGTAATACATATGAGATAAAGTTAAAGTTAGATGATGGAAATGAACCTTTGTTCCCGTCTCTTTAAGAGATTCCTTCTTCCCCTGAATGATATCTTGGGTTGAAGTTGTAGCTTCTTTAGCAACACCAACATCCTTGATCTACTTCTTTCGATCAATGGCTAAAAAAGAAAGAAAAAGGAGAAGCATATATAATTGTTAATACTAGAAGAATATACAAAGAGCTTTGAGAAAGGCAAGTCGAAAGGTCTTCCCATTTCTCACCTTCATGTATTGGAGTAAGTGTGCGAACATGTTTTATGTCCACATGAATGTGACCTTTGAAACTATCCAAAGTGAGATTAGCCAGAACCATTCGTTTGGTAAGTTTTTGAGAATATTGTTTAAGAATTTCAGATGAGACCACCATTATGGATATGAAGGTCGAAATGCGAAGCCAAAATCAACATTTGGCAAACGTGGCAACTTGGTGGATGAAGATTGAAGACTAACTCATACCTATTTTTGTATTTGACATACAAAGGGATTTTCAAATCACAAAGTTTCTTCATAAACTACTCTTTTAAAATGGGTGTTGCTTCGTGAATGGTTCGACTAAGAACATCAGGTATGTATACAGTTTCAAAGTATTTTCGGAATGCTTGGATTTCTTTGATGTATGTCGCTTTACCTTTATTGAGTCTCTTCTGTATGGAAGAAAAAACAGTTGTTAGATGTTGAGACAAAATAGGGATGTCGAAGAACTATGCAACATAATAGGTCATCCACCATTCATCCAATTTTTAGTACAATAAAAGGATGGTCGAAAAGAAACGGGAACAAGCTTGGAAGCTTCAGAAGCATGTCGATCCAAGTGCTTGATATGCTTATTTTCAGAGAAATTCATGTTATAGAGACAAAGAGCATTCTTACTGTTATATAATGATTTGGGTAGTATTTGGTTGAGTCCAAATTGTTGAGAGACAATGTTAGGTTGGTAACTGAGGAGTGTGAATTGGTCTTTAGAAACCCCAAGTCTAGTTGAAATTAAATTGGGAATGAGGAATGCTTCCCATATCACCAAAGATTATTTTTCTTGATCATTTGTGGGAGCAAGGAATTCTCTTGTAAACCATTCATGACTACGAGTTTGGTTGGTTAAAGGAGCCATAAAAGGGTTAAAGTTGTGAAAGTTGGCGAACATCATCACATATCCAGTGAAAGCCTCTTTCAAACTCCGTCCCTTATTAGTAGGGGTTAATAGAGCCAATTGAGTCCCTTCGACTCTTCTATTCTTAATGGCTTCGTCATCTTCATTGAGCTTGGTGACTTGAAGCGAAGGCTCGAAGATGGCATTTAGCCATAACTGAAGCAACCAATAAGGGCCAACTAGTAAGAAATTTTTTCCCAGTTTATAAATTTTCAGGAAATCGACAGCATCCCCCGGAGTTTCATAAAGCCAACCCAATATTAGCTGACTAAGGAAAATGTCGCGACCTCCATGCAATTGGTTCGCCAAAGTCAGGAATCTTTTCACAACCTTTAGTGATTTGCAACAGAATATGCAGCGAGATGATTAAAGCGCCAGAAAAGCGATATGCTCCTTATTAGATACTTCATCATTTTCTGTGTTGTGATGATCAACTATGTAATGAGTAAAGCTGGCCTGATTAGTATCGAAGTCGATGGTGTCCCCGTTCATCTCATAAGGGTTGAAAGCTTCTCTAATTACTCGAAGACCGGTGATATCACTGATGTCAAATAAGGTTGGGGTAATCATCCCACCGGGAAGGTGGAAAACGTTGGTGGTGCTTTCCTATAAGTATAAAGAAGCGCCCAACATATTTTGGCAATACGAAGGTCACATTTTTTAAAGTTGGATCATGTCAAAAATACCCATGTCTTTCCAGGTTTGCGATTTTTTCTTTTCAACTTTTGCAAGCCAAGAAAGATAAGCCTCATGGTCTTTAAATAAAGGGAAATAGTAAAACACTGAGAGTGTTACTCATATAATATAAGTTGATGGGGGGTTTTGTGGTTCAACAATAGTTTTGTCCTTAGGCTCTAAGGCATCAACCAAAGAATTTTTTCTGGAATCACCTACAATTTTAGCCTTAGAAGTTTTTGTTTGGGCTTCTGACTTAGCACTAAGGTCATTAGTAGCAGCCATTGCTTTTCTTAAACTAACTATTGGCTTAGTACGATGATAAGAAGGAAAAAACTCTTTTAACTTTTTAGCATTTGCCTTAGGACTAGGCAAAGGACCCATGAGTGCATGGGTCTCACCAGAGATAGAGAAAGGGATGAGTAACTGAGATTTGTAAATCCAGAGTTTTTCTTCTTGAAGAGGAGGCTCAGGAACGTATTCATGATTCCCCAACAGTAATGGACTTAAAATTTGGTTAGCAAGCGGTAAAACCTCTTTGGAACTTTCGCCATCTTCGTTGTTCTTCGATTTTGAAGCTACCATTCTAAAATGGTTGAAAGATTTGAAGAAGGAAGGTGTTTTTGATGTTGACTGAGGAAAAATTGCAAATTAAGATTTGAAGTCTTAAAGCTGGAAGAAGGAAAAAGAGATCAATGAGGAAGATGAAGTGTATTTATAGAGGGAAAAAGAAACTGTTCAGTTTCTACGAATTGACAAATGGAGTGAATTGTGGGACACATGTTTGCATTTAAGAGGTTGTGTGAGCGATTAGCCTTTTTAGTTGCCACAATGTTCCTAAAAAGTAGGGATCATGATGGATCTCTGAACATTGCACGCCTCGATGAGACGTTTGAGGAAAGGTGGTCATGATGACCATGACGTCAGAGCAGTGAAATACTGTAGCGTCGAAACATTAAAAAAATGTCTCTTTTCTCTGTTTGATCGAAAAAGACATTTGGGGGGGGGGGGGGGGGGGGGCAATTTGTTAGTTAGAATTTCGACGCTAATGGAAACTTGATGACTTGATGTATCAAGGAAATGTTGAAGGGATGTTTAAAGAAGTTAAGATGAGTTTGTGGTATTTTTTTACTAGCAAGCCTTGGAAAGACTTCGACGGACGCTAGCTGAAGGAGTTTCATTTCTTCAATATGATATGATTTTGGGACTTAACATATTTTTGGAGAAGTTTGATGGCTTTTTCGACGAAGTGATTTGAAACGAGGCCAATTAACTGTCTTTTGGCCTTATCCATTCTTGAAAGATGCGTGGAAGCTTATGATGGACGAAGTGTATACAAGCGAGAACGTGTTATTCCCTGGAGAGAAGACTATTCGTTATAATTATTTTAATTCTAGTATAAATAGAAGTCTTAGAATTTGAATTTAGTGTGTTGACATTACTACAAAATACTCAAAATACTCAAAGTATCTGAGCGAAATGAGAAACGAGTGATTGAGTTAGTTCTATGTACGTATTCAAACACCACTTTTTTATTTATGCAAAGTCTTTTTCATTAAGTTTATGTATAACGTTTATTTCTTCTCGAAAACCTTTACTTTTTCTCGTATTTACTTTTAAATCTTACATTTACTTTAAAGATTTCAACCAAGTCAAAATTGATGTCGTTTACACAAAAAATTACATAAGAACATTTTACATATATGTCTTAGAATCAACCTATCCGATTCTACAATATTTTTTTTTTAAAAAGTAACACTTATTTACTAGAAACAAATGCCATAAAGAAGATGAAAAGTGATAATGGTGTGTTGGTGAAAGACGTTGGAACAATAAAGTTTTCAAGAGAGGAGAAATAGTTGAAAGTTTCCCTCTCCTGTCATTCATTTTCTTCTTTTGTCCAAGATATATTATGGTAAAAACATATTTCATTTTATTTTAACAATCTTTGAAACACGTGTATGCACTATTAATAAATGTGAAATTAAAGTTTTATTATGAGTAAGATTTGTGTATGGGTTGCACTCTATCTCTCATCAACCATATCACTTTCGTCTCATTCTAAAAGATTCGTCCCAATCATCATCACCACTTCCTCTGCCCAACCCATTCAAAACTCCATTTCCACCACCGTCTACCTCTTTTTTCCACCGATCCTCCTCCTCCAACAAGGTTCGATTTCCCCTATCCAATCTCATACGTGACTCTACTGTGAACGATCTCATCCTTGAGTATAACAGTTTTTTTTTTTTTTTTTTTTTTTTTGCGTTTCTTTGCATTGATTTATTGCTGGTTTACATAGATCGATGAGTTGAGAGGTATTTCATAACGAAATACCTTGAATTTTGAAATATCTTGTATTGGAATTATGGATCCATGTCTATTACTATTACAGTTGCTTGGTTGAGGATTGATGATTTTTTTGAGAATTTGGTTTTTGATGGCCTTGAGAAAATCTTATGGAATTGTTTTGGATTTCAAATAGAAAATGGAACAATTTTTAGTATGATGTGACAATTTCATGGTTAAAAACTTGAATTGTGGAACTTGTTATGCTGTTGTGTTTCCAATTTGGGTACTTTCTGATTGACAGATGTTTATTTCAATTTTGCAGATCTTGCCATTTGGGATTGGTCACCTGAAGTTTGAAATGGTTAAAATGTTCGCACACATTTGCCCACTTATGACGACTTTATAATGAATATACTAAATGGAATATCTAACTGATTTCTTTGTGGTACAGTTATGGAGCATTCTGATTCACAAGCGATACCATGTTGCAGTGCTTAGAGGGATTCAAGTCTTTACTCGCTTCTGTATTACGTTGTTGTGATATTGATATTAACCAGCCAAGAGGCCTTGAAGATCCTGAACTTCTTGCAAGGGAGACAGTGTGTATGCCCTTAACGTTACTTTATTCTATTGATTCATTACTTGCTACTTTATTTTACAAAAAAGAAGATGCAATTAACTCTTTCTTTGTATTACTGAGTCTATTACCTTTCACACAGCTGTTTTGGAAATAAATATATAATATATGTACTGAAGGCAGCTATTTATTGTAAATACGTATGCAGTCAGTGTCAGTGAAATAGAAGCACTGTATGAGCTCTTCAAAAAGATCAGCAGTGCTGTAATTGACGATGGGTTGATTAACAAGGTTTGTCTTCTTTGTCAATGAACAACTTATCTTTGAAATATTATATTTCATTGATTGAACATGGTCTTGGATAGAACATTATGGCAAAAGTTGATCCATGCAGCCGATCCCACTTAGTGGGATATGGCTTGGTTGGTTGTTGATTATTGTTGATTGAACATCTTCTCTAATGAAACAAAACTCTTCATATCTAAATTTTTAATTGTCTTTTTGTTTTATTGTTTTCTTTCTTTGGAAGTGTTGTTTTAGGAATTCCATCAAATATTATATTCAGTTTTAGAACTCATTTTGCAGGAAGAGTTTCAATTGGCTTTGTTCAAGACAAATAAAAAAGAAAGTTTGTTTGCTGATCGGGTATTTCTTTCCCTTCTATTTTGTCTGTTTTTGTGCAAATATCTCTACTTGTAAACTAGAATACTTCATCTTTTCATGTGTGAAATGGTTGGAGAATGTTTGGGCTATTATATTAGCTCTCAATGTTATTCAGACTCGCTGAAGATATTTTTTTCACAAGGCTTTCTTTTCAATTTGAATCATCAATTGAGACTGAGGCAAATGGCTATTTTATGGCAAAACCAAGAAAGGATTAGATTTACTTTTAGTTTTAGACTTACATATGGTGTGGACTATGCTAGATTGAAGTCCGGTAAAGTAGAGTGTGTGCATGTATGTTTGTAGGTGTAACTAAGAAGTAAGATTGCAATATATAATAGGATTCCAAGTTAGTTTTTTACCAGAACATTTAGTGTACGTGCACAATGCAAATTAGGGTGCTACAACCTTTGCCTTAATATACAATGCTTTCTATCATGTTCATATGTTTTGCTTCTCACATGTTTCTTTACACACATTCAAGAAAAATCACTTTCTGCACCGCTATATATAGGGCTGTTCATGGTATGGTTCGGATAGAAAACCAAACCAAACCAAACCATTGTAAAAGACACTCAAACTGAATCGAACCGTTTCAATTTATCCAGAACCGAACCAAACCAAAATTATTGGTTTGGTATACCGTTTCAAAGTTCCGAACCATATTGAACCGTTTGAAGACAATTTTTCCCGAACCAAACCATTTGTTAAAGAACCGAACCATTTTATTATTTTTTGAATTTTTCTTTTTAAATTAAAACTTTTTTTTTGTATTTTTAATTTTTAATTTTAGTTCGGTTCAGTTTCGGTTCGGTTCTAGAACCGTTTGTGCAATATGGTTCAGTTCACTAACCAAATTTAACGGTTTGGTTCACCGGTTCAGTTTGGTTCACGGTTTTTTTGAACAGCTCTAGCTAGCTATATATATTATTTCAAAATTCTGTTTTGTTTCTTCTTTTGTAACATGTTCAAAGACTGGTTCATGTTACTTCATGTGGTTAGTATCTCACTCGAGCTTTCCTCTAACTCTACCAGGTGTTTGATTTATTTGACACAAAGCACAATGGGATTCTCGGCTTTGAAGAGTTTGCTCGAGCCTTATCCGTTTTCCATCCAAATGCCCCTATTGATGATAAGATTGAATGTATGTTGTATATTTTTCTTTTAGCTTCTAACCTTTAAAAAGAAAGTACATTACTAATGTTGAATAAGAATCCAATATCAAGCGGTTATTTGAAATTGCAGTAACACAATGAGTTTACGTGGCAATATCATGAGTTTCCATTAGATGTCAGTGTAAAACTATTGCACGCCGACAATGCATCACAATAAAACTCTTTTTTAATATACACACACCATCATTCTTTATAAATAAATGATAACTAAACCATTGTAATATCATATTTCAGTTTCCTTTCAACTATACGATCTCAAGCAGCAGGGTTTTATTGAAAGACAAGAGGTACTTCATCTTCTTATATACCCAATTCTAAGGTTTTTGCTCTTCCAGTGAAAGAGCCTGATTTTTTGTCTGTCTTTTTATACAGGTGAAGCAAATGGTGGTTGCTACACTTGCAGAATCTGGTATGAATTTATCAGACGATGTTATAGAAAGTATAATCGATAAGGTACTTACCCCGTTCTTCTATCACTTTCACTTCTAATTGCATACATAAGTTAGTTTAACATTAGATTCTAAATTCCTTTAGACTTTTGAGGAAGCGGATACAAAGCATGATGGCAAGATTGACAAGGAGGAGTGGAGAAACCTTGTTTTGCGCCATCCTTCACTTTTGAAGAACATGACCCTTCAATATCTCAAGTAAATTTTCAATCCATATTATTTTCGTATAATTTGTGTGGATATTCCCTCCAAAACGGAGACAACCAAATAACATTGCCTTTAGAAGTCTTTGTTAAGCAAGTTTCTAACATCTTTTTTTCTTCTTCTGTATTTATCTTACTCTCTTTGACTAGCCTTTTTCTCATATTTATTTTTCATGTGTTTGAGCAGGGACATCACAACAACATTCCCAAGCTTTGTATTCCATTCACAAGTAGATGATACTTGAAGGGCAAGTATTTTGCTGATAGTTTTCACCTTTGGTTTCTCTGCCTTGTGCTATAGAGTCACATATCTTTCCTTTTTTTTTCCCCTCTTAAAATATAGTTGGTTGATTTGCTTACATTAAATTGATTATATATTTAAAGGGTATTTGGTTTGATGGATTCATTGTTGTGGTCATTCAATCATCCAGAATTATTAGTTCATGTATAATCGGGTCAATCGGTTTCCAAGTAATAATTCGCCAAATGTTTTAAAAATGAACTGTTCAACTTGCTGAGCCTTGAACTGGTCTTTACTATGGTTTAATTGTTTTGACGGTTTAATCATGGTTTCGCTCCATTTGAGCGGTTTGAGACGGTTAAACTATGACTAGGAAATCTTACCATCATCTGAGCATAAACTTAAAAAAGGCAAGATGATAATATCATGTTTTCCCTAAAGGCAGCTTTTGGTTTCAAAGAAGATATTTCTTTTTTTTGTCTTTCCTCTGTTGCTCACCAATCAAATGAGAAATTAACTTGCCACTTCTCATATTATACATGGCATCCTCCAAATAGTATGAAAAGACATATTATACATGGCATCCTTCCAATGGTATGAAAAGATCAAGTTGTAGACCTAAATTATTCACCACAGATTTCAAATTCATGTTATCAATTGGATTTTTTAATTTTTTGGATGATATCGGAAATTTTTTGGGCGATATCAGAAATTTTGCCAACAAGTGAGAATTTACGGTAGATTTTAAAATATCCGGTATTTTTGTACCGAAAATTTCAAAATATCTGGTATTTTTATTTATCATTTATATCAAAAATTTTAAAATTTTCGATTTGTCACGTAATACCAGAAATTTCAAAATTTCTGGTAGTTTAATTTTTTTTCTACTCTGTTTTATTACTACTGGAAATTTCAAATTGAAATTTAAAATTTCTAATACATCAGAAATTTTAAATATACTATTAGAAGTTTATGGTACCAAAAATTTTGTAGGAATGAACTGAAAATTTGGTTGGTATGGAAAATTTCAATTCTTCTATCAAAAATTGTGTTTAATTCATCCTAAAATAAAAGTGGAATAAAAAAAATTGGGAATAGCTCTTAAAAATTCAAAATAATTTATCAACAATCAAATTCTGAACTTACTTTTACTGATGTGATGTTAAATAATGAAGTGAGTGATGTGGTGATTAGTTTTTTTCCATGCCATCCTTTAAGCTTTTTTATCCTGAGTTTTGTGTTAAAAACGTTTTGACCTTTTTTTTTTTTTTTTGGAGTTTCAAACTCATTCTTTTAGTTACCAAACCTTTGTAACTTTGGTAAAAAACAGACTTTGTTTTAAAAAGTTGATGTGGAATTTTTCAGTCATGTTTGACCTTTTGTATAATGCAAATGCATCACAAGCAAATAATTAAACTTTTGTTCTTGTATTACATAAATTTCAAATGTAACTATTATTCAAAGGCAACGAACCAATGTTCTAAAAGCAACCATTCCATTCCGGTGGTGTATTTTTCAAGAAATTTGAATCTCATGTTGGTATAAAAAAGAAGTTGTAATTCAAACAATAAAAAAGGACTAAATATTAAGAGGAGATTTTAGTATTGTAGAGACTGGTAAATTTTAATAGGTTCAAAGAATGAAGAAGAAGTTGTAGAACACGTGGTTCCTATTTGCAACATTGTCTTAACTTACATACATGATCATCTTGTTATAACTATTAAACTTGAAGGACCACATTTAATATTTTTTTAATGTATTTAGGCAAATGAAAATGAAGCTGAATGCAACTTTTTCAAGTAGAATATTAACAATATTGTTCAAGAACTAACAATAAAATGAATTGAATGAATGATTTTCAATTGATTCATTAGGTTTCAAAGTTACAACCAACTAACTTATATACAAGTTAGAGGTTGTTAAAAAGTAATTAAGAGTCTAACCTCTTAGAGACATGGCAGTAGAAAAAGAGAAAAGGAAAAATATAAAAGTGATAACTTGGATAGTAAGTTATAGACTATTTTCTTCTTCTCTTATTATCTCCCACAA